TCATACGTCGTTTCCATTCTATTTACCTGGCTAAATCCTCTCGTCTGGACGTATCTCGTACCCTATTCTACTGAAACAGCCGGAGATGGTTCTGATTCTACTTGTCCGATTACAGGTCGTGCTTATTCTTCTTGTCTGATCAGGGATTAGCCTATCTTGCCACTTTCATAGGTACATCGCACTCGGTTATATAAAATACTACTTTCAACAGGAGCGTAGACGATCGCAAATTGCTCTCTGCGACTATCAAAGAAATATTCTCGATATTAATCGAGAGTAAGTTAGACATACAATTAAACGAAATATATCACGAAAAGTAAAAGTCGCTTGATCAATTATAGCAATTACAGAGTCACTGTCAGTACATTTATCAATCGTACAAGTGTGCGGTTAAATACCTGATATCGCAATACTATCAAATTGCTCCGAGTTCAAGAGCTTTTAATTGCTCAATAATTAGAGTCACGATCGGTATACTGATTACTTCTGTAAATAACTAATTAAAAATCCTCTGTATCGATATTTTCAAATTGCGTACACACAGAGTTCAAGATAGAGCTATTCGACTCTTAACCAATTGTAATAACTAGAGTCGTCATCAGTATATTGATCACTTCGATAAATAAACAATTTAAAACTCGGTACCCTAATATTTTAAAATTGAGCAGAGTTCAAAAGAGAGAGAGAGAGAGAGAGAGAGAGAGCTTTCCAATCATAAAACAATTAAAATAAGTACAGTCGCTCTTGCGTATAAATAATTAGACTACTGTTATAAACGAATAATTGAAAACCCAGTATCCTAATATTTTTTAATTTTATAAAGAGAGAGAAAGCTTTCCAATCATAAAACAATTAAAATAAGTACAGTCGCTTTTGCGAATAAATAATTAGACTATTGTTATAAACGAATAATTGGAAACCCAGTATCCTAATATTTTTTAATTTTGTGAAGAGAGAGAGAGAGAGAGCTTTCCAATCATAAAACAATTAAAATAAGTACAGTCGCTCTTGCGTATAAATAATTAGACTACTGTTATAAACGAATAATTGAAAACCCAGTATCCTAATATTTTTTAATTTTGTGAAGAGAGAGAGAGAGAGAGAGAGAGAGAGCTTTCCAATCATAAAACAATTAAAATAAGTACAGTCGCTCTTGCGAATAAATAATTAGACTATTGTTATAAACGAATAATTGAAAACCCAGTATCCTAATATTTTTTAATCTTATAAACTCAAAGTTCGATTGAGAGCTTGCCAAGCCCCGATTGAATTTAGCAGCTGGTATCGTTTTAGTATTAATGTGTAGGTCATCGAATCGATCGCGGCAGTGTCAAGCGATCGAGGGAACGACTTGTCAAATATTACGCCACCGCGAAGCTAATAATCAAAGCATAGCACGCCCGCGGCGAAAACTAGGCAAGTGGACGGCCGGTGTTTCTCGCTCGGGCCACTCCGGCCCGAATAACTCTTCCATCGGCGGATCAATGAAATCCAAATAAGAGGCGGTATCCCGGAACAGCCTCATCCGGCCTCTTTTCTTCGACAGTGTCGGGCAAGGGATCGCGGAGCCTCTTTTCCCACCCCGAGTTCGAAAGCACGAATGTAGGCCAGCCGGTCGACCAGATGGAATCTATCAACTATATAAAACACAATGTACTGATGCACGCGTCCCGCTTTCAACACGAACGCCTCGTTACATATGAATGCGACCGAGTAAACACCTACTCGTGTAATGCCACATACGCGACAATAAGGCGGCTCGTACGCTGGACGGTCGTCCCTGAAAAAAATGCCGGGGCTGAGCTGTGAAAAACACGAAGCTTGCATTAACCAACGGAATACGGCAGTTGACAATTTTATAAGGTGTCCTGAATATCCTCGGTACAAGCGGGAGGACGTTCGAGGATTCTTATCAACGCTACAATTTTATTGGACGAATAAAAATAACTTGTTTCCGCGTGTTTCTCTCGCGAAGCTGCGAAAATTATCAAAATGTTTCTGCGAGAAATTTTTTTCAATAAACTTTCTTAGTCGAGCATACGTTGTAAGTACGTATCTTGTCGTTGTTATAAAACAGTATGTATCAGCTGTGTTTAGCAATTAATTGTACTAGTGTTATAAAAATTAAAATACGTGATATACAGTATCACAAAGGTGTTCCATGATTATGTTAACACTTGGAAGTGTTATTATTATATTATTATAATTATTACTATATTATTATAATTCCTGAGGTCATTCGAAGTAACTTTTTCCTTAGCGAAAATGCAATCCGCGGCTTTGTTTACGAGTTATTAACGAAAAACAGTGACCAATGAAAGGAGAGCTCGGCTGGCGCTAGGCGGCCGAGTCAACGGCGCCAGCGGTCGAGCGGACGAATTCCAGCTCAGCTGGCGCGAGGCTGCCTCGCGTCAACCGATCTCGTCTCTTATTGGTCACCGTTTTTCATTAATAACTCGTAAACGAAGTCGCGGATTGCATTTTCGCTAAGGAATAAGTTACTTCAAATGACCTCAGCAATCGCTACTTTCCAAGTGTCAATATAATTATGGGACACCCTGTAGACGAAGCCATTTAAAGTAAAATATATTTTACTTCTGATTTATTTTTTCTCATATTATTTCACTTCTCGTGTACTTTTAGATGTCATTCCACTAAAAGAATTGTACAATATTAAACAGACAGAAATATTAATTAATGTAAGGTCTAACACGATTACGTAATAATGATAACCATTGAGATACAATATCCAAACTAAATTGCAATATTTTTTGTCACGTCGCTAAAGACGCGTACCGTTTTAATAGCATATTATTTGTAATTCCTACTGCTATTTATCTTCCAGTACGTTCAGTTCTTATTTCATAAATTACATCGTCCTCGTTTTTCAAGCTGATATCTTCGCTATAGAATCGTTGAATTAATTATTGACCGGTGGGTTATACTAGCAACGTCATCGCCGTGCACATGACAAATTCTTTTCTTGTTTCCCCAACACTTTCTTCCTGTCGGAAATAAAGAGACGTTAAATGACGAAAACAAATGTTTCTGCTCGTACGATTCTAAATGTACTTCATCCTAATAAAACTAAAAGCAACCGACTGAAATTGATGACGATATATTCGTCGCCCGTCGTTAACGTGATATATTTATTTATTCCAGTTGTAAAGAACAGTTCGAAATATCGTGCCCTGAAATAAATAAATACCAATAGTCGTCGAAATCAACGAATTTATTGCACTACCGAATAGTTTATTCAATGTTTTCGGAGATATTTTTGTACTACTTTTTTGGTTCGTCGAAAGATATTTTCAGTTTTTTTAAGAGCATTTTCAGC